TCCCCTAAGAGCGGAAATCCCGCATCCAAATAGCAACCTATTCTCGGCATAAGTCTGGATGGCTGCTATCTTTCAAAACAGGAAGAGGACGAGGAAGTGTTGAACATAAGGCTGCTATCGGCAGGATAAATTCTAGATCCTTCTCTTTATCTCTTCTTTCCCCATTTCCACAAGATCCTTCCTCAAAAGGCTATACTCTTTAAGGATAAGGCCACTCTTTGGGCAAGAAGAGGGTTTTGAATATAGGGGCCTTCCAACCTTTATGAGTGAGGAAGTAGCCCCATTCTCGAAATCGAATTTCTTGCGCTCCCTTTCAAACGCATTGGTCATTTCCTAAGCGCACGTTTGGGGCTTATCATGTGGTTTGGAACCCTTGTAAGGCCTCACAATAGCATACTTACGGTTCGATGAACCTTAAAGGAATTAATCCGCACCCTCGATTGCATTAAAGTCTCATCATCCAGGTATGGTCAAGGTAAGTACAGATGGGGCCACGAGAGGGATCGAAGTGCAAATCCGACTGGGCCCTATTTAAATCTCTGGTTTTAGGTTCGTGGGTTTGATGCCTCTCTTCTATGACTTCACTTCGCTTCGCTTCTAAAGTTGGTTCGATTACATTGAGAGATGATAAGTACTAAAACAACAGGGAACCCCACAAGAGTGAGGAGATTGTCAAAATGATCAATAAGCCAAAGTTCTCATTTGCTAAAGTTCAAAGGTTAAGTCATTAGATTGCGTGTTCAGACCAGAGTAAGAACCTCTACAATCAGAAACTGAAAGGATAGGTTGGTGAACCATGTTCCTCACAGAGTAAGTCTAATATGACCTTTGTCAAAGAAGGGTACTCAATTGATGGTAAGAATGGTAATCCAAACCCTTCTAAAACTCAGCATAAAAATTCTGGTATGAACTTTGTACCTGTTTGTCACTATTGTAGTGTTCTTGGTCATATTCGTCCTAGATGCTATAGGATGCTTAATGATTTACATGCAGGAAGAATAAATGACTGGAGCCCCGCCGGTGTTCCAATAAAAACACCAAAACTGAAGGTTGACGTAAAGAACCATAAGCAACAAAAAATTTGGGTTCCAAAAAGGAATCATACTTGTCTTTCATCTCTGTTTGCTTCAAACTCCACTTCTAATTGTGATTGGTATTTTGATAGTGGATGTTCTAGGCACATGACGGGTGTTAAATCGAATTTGATTAATGTTTTACTTGTGTCTAATGGTTCTGGTTCTGTTACTTTTGGTAATGGTGCTTGTAATAAAGTTGTGGGAA